ATTATTATTTCATTGTATTATCTTTTTCACATTATTGTTTCCGTTACTATAATAAAAGGTGTCGCTGTTGTTATAATTATCATCGTTGTCAAGTATGATTATAATTATTATTATTATAATTATCATTATCATAATTATCATTATCATAATTATCATTATCATTATTATAATTATTATTATTATTATGATCACTATTACTATTGTTATTATTACTATTATCTTCATTGCCATCATCAGTTATGATCATTATCAGTATTAGATATATATAAATATATATATTAACAGCACTCTCCATCATCATTGTACTTTACTTTATTAGTGCCATTATTTTAGTGGTCATATTTATAACTATATCTTCACAATCATCCTTTAATAGTTGATTGTAGAAACAGTATTGTTTTCTGGCGTTGTGTTACACTATGGATTTAAATATGTAACAGTAAACATCAATGACAGTCATTATAACCGTCGTAGTTGATATTATATTTACAATATTTTCATCCTGTTTATCAATATTTTTATTACATAATAATTGTTGCTGTCATCTTTTTCATTATCATTAACATGATAATGATAATAATAGTAATAATCATAATAATAATAACGAAATAATAAGAATAATAGTAATAGTAATAACAAGACCAATAATGGTAATAATCAATGGTAATAATAATAATAACGAGAAAAAGAAGAAAAGGAAGAAAAAAAGGAATGATGATAATTAAGTAATGATTAATTCAATACTGCTAGTACCAATAATAATAAAAATCATGATAATAAAAGAAAAAATAACAAGAGTGATAATAATAATAATGATAATATTTTAGAAAATAATTATAATTATTATAAGGATAATAATAACAATAACAATAATGATGATGATGATAATAATAGTAATAATAACAATAATAACAATAGTAATAATATGTCTTATTATCTTTATATATATATATCTAAATGACAAATTATCATTATCATCGCCATCATCATCATTGTTACCATTATCAGCCATTATTAACGTTAACGCTACTAGGAAAGATATTATATTATCATCAAAATCATTATTATTATCAAAGTCATTATTATTATCATTACTGTTATTATCATCAGTATTTTTATCACATCTTTATTATCAATTTCATTATCTTAGGGGTATTTTTTTCATTTTTATTATCATGATAATGATGA